GGGGGGGGGGGGGGGGGGGGTAATTTGGTAAATTGACTTTGTCGTCTGCAAAAGCTGTATAAGTTTGAACGGGGGCAATTTCGCTTCTTCCTCCACCGAGTTGAAATCGAACGTAGCCGTTAACTTCTACAAACAAAAAACCAACAGAAAACGTCTCTCTAATTTTGTGAATCGGTCTTCTTCTCCGGCGGAGATTTCCTTTCTTTGCCGACTGCCTCGCTGTGGCTGGTTCAGAGAGAACGATTCGGTTCTGACGGAGTTCCTTTGAAGAATCTGTGTATTTGATTTTGTTCTCTTTCTCTGAAGGCTTGATGGTTCAGCTCATGAATTCGGGGACGGACAAGATTCCGGGCACGAAGAGGCTGAAGAAGGAGGTTGAAGATTCTTTGGAGGACCTTCTCGATCAATTTCACAAGCGATCCAAATCCGAGGTATTGCCTCTGTCTTCCTTTTTCATTTCTATGATCTGATTGAAATCGATCTGGATTTGGTTCGTTTACTTGATTTCTGAAGTCGTTTGGTATGAGACCGAACTGAATTCGCTAGAAATGTTCCGGAATGGTGGAGCTCATTCGTCCACAAAATTTTCCCCAATCCAAACGCGACTTTGGAAGAATTCCAATCGATTAGCCTTTGTTATACTTCTCTAATCAATCATAGATTTGTTCTTAGAAGATGTGTTTCTTTCTGGTTTTCTTGTGGCGGTAGCGGAACAGAGTACCTATATTACTCTGTGATGATATTCGTGCTTCTTCTTATGAACTTGGAGTTAGGGTTTGATTTTTCTGAATTTAATTTTTTGAACGTGCAGAGATGGACGTCAGAAGCCAATGCGTTTTCTGTGTCGTCGAGTCCGTACAATCCTCTAGATGAGCCAAGCCCGTTGGGTTTGAGTCTGAAAAAGAGTCCGTCCTTATTGGATTTGATCCAAGCAAAACTGTCTCAGGAAACTGCTAAATTAGCGACTATGAACAAGAAGGACCAGAAGGACCAGAAGGACCAGAAGGACCAGAAGGGAGCTAATGCTGCCGCTGCTTTTAGTACTGCAGACAAGCTCAAGGCTTCAAACTTCCCTGCATTAATTCTTAAGATTGGTTCTTGGGAGGTACATACATCTTTTTCCTTGCGAGTTTTCTTGGGAACGGAATGGAATTGTTTTGGGTTTCCTTTTGTTTTTGAATGATGTTGAGAAAATGTTAGTTGTGTTGCTTTGCAGTATAAATCAAGGTACGAGGGTGATCTAGTGGCGAAGTGTTACTTTGCAAAGCATAAGTTGGTTTGGGAGCTTCTTGATGGGAATCTTAAGAACAAGATAGAAATTCAATGGTCCGATATCGTCGCTCTCAAGGCAAATTACGCCAAGGATGGTCTAGGAACTTTGGATGTAGTGGTGAGTTACATTTTTATAGCCAAGTTGTGGAACATGAACCTTGTTCTTAGTAATATGATGATTTACCGTTGCTTCTTTCAGCTGGCGAGACAGCCCCTTTTCTTTAGGGAAATAAATCCACAACCTAAGAAGCATACTTTATGGCAAGCAACAGCCGACTTTACTGGGGGAGAAGCAAGCAGGCACAGGTACCTGATTTGAGTATCCAGCAGTCCTTGTAGCTGGTGGCATTTATTCTAGTTATATTTGAGTATGAAAACCACAGAAAGAGACTGCTTAACTCAGCTAGACTCTGATATATATTTTGGTCTAGTAGGACTAAAATTCTGTTTCATTTACTTTGCAGAAAACATTTCCTGCAATGTTCACAAGGCTTTTTAAACAAGCACTTTGAGAAGCTCGTGCGTTGCGATCCTCGTCTCAACTTTTTAAGCCAACAACCAGAGATCGTGTTAGAATGTCCATATTTTAAAACCAATAGTCCAAATGAATCCAAAGAAGGAATTGGTTTCAAGAGTGAGGAAGGACCTACTTTCTTTAGTTTAGGTATGGTGTCAACATCTGGAACTCAATCCCCTTCGTCAATTAAAGAACACGAGTGTCGTGCTGGTGCTTCTGAAGAATATTCTGAGCAATCTCCATCACCTAACTCAGGTAAAAATCTTCAACTGACAACTGAAATTATGGGCATAATCAATTAAGAACATAAGATCTTTCACCAATTGAACTTGAAGAGTCGATAGATACACCTAAAGAATTTCCCTTCCCCCTACAAGAATCCTTTATCCTTGGATCTGAAAATGTTTCCGACTTGTCAAATATACATTTTAGGAATGGAAGCTCACACAATGAACGAAGAATTGGGAAATGATGGATCGGAAAGTTCAAGGCTGTTCAACAAATGGGACCAAGTTCTGGTTCCTGGAATTCGTCCATCCATGTCCGTTAGCGATTTTGTCAGTCATATTGAACACTGCCTACCCATGTTTTCTGAAGATAATCAACAAAGCAGAGAGACTCTAGAGGGGATTACACAGTATCTATTTGGTGATTCTCAACATGCATCTGACGCCGATGAACAGACCATCATGTCCAGGGTAAACTCCCTGTGCAGTCTTCTACAGAAGGATTCTTGTATGGCTAAGGCCTCGCAAGCCAAAGCTGGCAAGAGCCTCAATGTCGCTGGTGGCAACGTCAACTCGATTTCTGCACTGGAACATGAAATCAAGAATGAAGAAAGCTTCCCTGTCCACAATGGCTTTGAATCGAGCAAGCACATAGCCATGTCAAGGAACGATTCGGTGGGTGAGCTGCTGCTTAATCTTCCAAGAATAGCTTCTTTACCTCGGTTTTTTTTCAACTTGTTTGACGATTCTGATGATCGTGCTAGATAACCTTTGTTTTTGGTTCAACTTGTTAATAGGTGTAGTTAAAACCCATAAATCAGGTTTCTACTGGAAAACAGGAAAAAACAAAGATGGAGGGGGGAACTATCCTGACATCTAATACCCCTATCTTCTCACTTGTCAACTTTTGTAAATATTAGCAGGAGGATGGTCAATGTATAAAATACTTATATCAGCTAAACAGTTAAACTTCTCTCTATCCCTTGTCTTGGCATTTCGAAAGTTCAAGGATGAAACAAACTCAAAAACTTTTACCTAAGAAGCAAATTGTCAACTGGGTAAAAAGGTGAATCCGAATTTCCAAAAGTCTTATTCAAACGTATATCTAGCTTGAAAATTTAGTAACTTAGCTGGCAAAACCAAGATTAGTGGGGTAGGCCAGAAAAATTCAAGTGGTGATTCTAAAGTTCTGGTTCAGGAAAATTCTTATAAAAAAATAACAATAATAATGTGATTAGAAGAATTTGAGGAGTCCACTCACAAAGTTTAAGCAGCTGGTGGCGGTGGTTCCAGACAAGCTGCAATGGTTCTTATCGAATGTCTTTTTCTTCCTCGCATCCAATGGATATCTTTTTCTCCCCTACTTCTCTCCTTATCCACCTTTTTTGTGGTGGGGATTGACGAGAATTATTTTATACGGGAACCAACCGTACTCCCTTTCGGTGAGTGGTGACGCAGCAGGGAAAAGGCCTTCGAGATCAGTGTACAAACTGCAAAATTTAGTAACCACATACAGAGAGACAATTCACAAGATGACGTCCCGTCCACAGTGGAAGCAAGGAAAAAGGGGGATTTTCATGCAATTATACAGGCTACAAAGAAACAGCTTGTGGGTGGGTGGATATAAAAAAGAAAATGAATAGTGAACTTTTGAAAAAGAGTGTCGTGCCATTGTAGGAGTAAAAGATGAACATTAAGAAACCCCACAATGAAGATATTGAGGGAAAACTTGGTAATCTAGTTATAACAAAATACTTGATTGTTAGTCTCTTTTCACATGCTGCAAACCACTCCGCGCATGTGAGAAGGCCAAGGATGCTACCATTGCAATTGAGTACCCGATTACTGCCCCGTAACTCACACAAATTGGCCATTCCTGCATATTGAAGGAGTCTGCATTTAGTAGAGTTCACACAGATGTGACAAAAGACCAAGACCTTCGAGCTAAGAAGCACTTAGAGGTAAAAGTGATGACCATTAGATGGGAAATTGGTTAAAGGAACTATATTGGAAATAATTGTTAGACATATATTGATACCAAATCCTGAAATCTTATTCATATCCGAGATAACACCATAGGTACGTAAAATATATATTGAGTTGTTCTTTTTGATGAATAAGTTCCCAAAAATTTTGGGTGCGGGTTCACAAGTTAGAGGCAAGTAAAACTTGACTCATTCTTTTTTCTTTAGATGCCTAGAATGAATAGAACAAGGAAAAATTAAGCACCATCAAATAGCTTTCTATGGCTAAATTCACGACCTAGAGATAAGTTGGACTAGTTCACTCTTTTTTTCTTTGGATGCCTAAAAAATCATGTAATATTTTCTTAGTTCAAACTAGAGACTGTTAATTGACATTATTGAGTGTCATTGAGGTTTGACATACACAGCCCAAGATCTATTGGGAAAATATAAGTGCAGGATGAAAACCAAGTACCTGCCATGGCCTTTCCCAATCAAGTGGCATGGGCCATGCGCCAAACCAGGCTCCAATAATGGCCCCATGTGCTGGAATGCATATCATATGATCAATAGTTCCATTTGGCCTGCAATTGAACAGCAATCACTACTTTATATTCAGAGTTTGCGTTTACCTTGTTGTCATAAACTAAACATTTTGCAAGTAGATTAATGCACCCACGTCGCGTAGATATTTTAAATGAACATAGAAAGAGAGAGAATAGAGATAATGCGACAGGAGGCTTACTTTGTGTAAGCAAATAGGCGTTGCCAATCCATCCATGATGAACCAAAGACACAAGCTGAAGGCACGACCTACAAGACCAGCAAAAACCACCACCAATATTAAAGGACTATCGTATATGAAAAGGGGAAGTTATGAAGCAGCACAGCACAACGTCTACCCTGAAATTTTAATACAAAGAGAATTGCATCACAAAGCAAACTGAAAATAGTATCTAAATATAAGAACTTCCCTTAATCCATAATAGGCTTAACTAATTTCGAAGTCTACAACTATAACAAAATAAACTGAAACCAAAACATAGGTGGCACTATCCATCTCATAAGGATGCTAGACAACGGCCAATGACTACACTACAAGCTTCGGAAAGGTGGAAGAATTTGAAACAATATATATTGAAATCATTCCTTACTTACACTGAACGATGACATCACAAGTGACCAGTTAAGGGTCTTCAATAAGTATCTGTGCCAAGGAGAAGTATTCAGATATTACACGAAAACACATACAGTATTATCAAATGTATTATCAATGACCATCAAGACTTGGCCGCGAGAAAGTTTAAATGTGTGGAAGATCAATGTTCATAATTATAAAACACTCAAACATGATTAAGGATGCTACTGTTAATTAATCTCCCCAAGTAAAATTCCACTCAAAATATTCACAATTTGAATTTAAGTAAAAAGGAAAAGTAATGTTCCCATAAATGGTGATAAAATACCAGCCGATAGCGAGAGCAGATCTTGATTTATTCGTTGGACAAATTCTGGTATAAAATTTCCATTCAAACCATAAAATTCAATATTTGCAATCCATTAGAGATGAAAGATATAGATTTTCAGTGACTTATTCACGTACTGAGCACCAATAGGAGCGCCAAGAACTATTGCTCCAAAAGCATTAATAATAGCACCTGCATAATTAGGCCACATTGATCCGATTATGACAAGTTTCGCGAGAAGAACCAAGCAACCATATATCACTACGAACAAGGGGGAAAAAGAAAAGGCATGGTAGTCACTAAAGACTAGGGATATGAAAACAAAAATGGCTCCAACTATTAGAATCCTTCCTCATGGACACATTGAGAAACTCACGTCATCAAATTTGAAGTCTCATTTCATATCAAATTTGAGCTATACCGATTACATCTGTACTATTTTCGAATACAAAATTTCAATCCTAAACATGCTTAATTAAAAGAACAGATTGGAGAACAACATCAAAACACTCGTAGCTACCTAAACGAATGACAATCAAAAGAAGCAGGCAAATAAAACAAAATTTCTCCAACTAACCAGCAAGGAGTCCAAGTATGCCTCGCGCCACAGCTTTCAAGTACTGCAAATTCGTATAAAACACAGTCCAAGTATTCTAAATTCATTATCTGATTTCAAAACAAGCAATACATTCTCTCACGAACAAATAGTATAAGGTGAAACAAGCTAAGTGAGTCAACTATACCGAGCATTGCTCACGGTCCGTGCGATACCGGCTGTAAAGAAGGATCACAATCGGACACTCAACAATCTGAACAGGGAGAACGAAGAAGAATCACTCAAAATGCAGGAAGTGGATTCGAAAATGAAAACCTACGAATGACGAAGTATGAAATTTAGACGGATTGAGAGAGAAAGTACCAAAATCAAGAAGAGAGTACGAGAAGGATCGGAGATGAGATCAGCGGAGTAGACATGACGAGCAATCAAGAAGGCTAGGGCTAGCCCTAGGCCGCATATCAGGTGGACGAAGAACGCCTCTGCAATCGATACGGAAGGCGAAGCTTTACTGGCCATCTCTTTCTTCTCCGTCTCCATTACTGTATTTTCTCGTAGCTCATACGGCGAATTCCCGCTGAATGTTCAATGAAGGAAATAGAAGAGAAATTAACGCGGGTGTTTCGATTTTTTTCCCCCCTTTTTGTTGAAGAAACTCCAGCAATTTTATAATTAATTGGATGTATATAATAATTTTCTTCACAATTATTTAAACTACAACATTTATTATACTTTAATGTCGAATTTTATGTTATGTTAGACTAAGAGTTCTGTTGTTTTTTTTTTTTTTTTTTCCTTTAAAA